TGTCTCGTTTTGACTTCCAGAGTCCAACACCTGCTGGAGATGTCAGAGTGAAACAGGTAGCTACACGCTTCCTTCACTGCGCAGTAGAACACACCAGTAACACAAGCAGCTGTGATTGTGAATCAGTTTGTACAGTTAGAACTCTGGTTGATTTATCTCCTGATTTAACTTTGTTTAATGAATCAATATAACTGGACTTATGACAGAGATGTGTGTTGATTTGATGTCCCTGCTAAGGAGGAGATGCCACTTTAATTAATACTCCAGGCTTTAATTGATTTGAGTTTATAATCCTCATCGATCAGCTGTTATCAGCCCTGTTGTGTGATCCTGTGCTTTCACACTGATCAGATCTCACCTTTTGTTTTCTACCTTACTGCTGCTAACTAATGATTCCTAACTGCTGACATGATGCTGAATGATGGTGAGCTGTCCCGAGAAAACGTGTATTAAACTGTAATCTGTCTTTCGTGACGGTAATTCGTACTCTCCTTTTATTGTAGTCATTGCTGGTTGTCCCTCTTTCATTCTCCCGTCACGCTCGTCCTTCATCCAGCGCTCGTAGTTGTTTCCTGCATGCTGATGCGTCTAAAGGCCAATTTCTGTGATCATGTGTGAACCCTGGACCGGTTTTTAGAAGGAGGGGCGGTAACATTAGGGTCTCGTGAAGCGAGCTGGAGAAGTGAAATGTGAATTAAACATAAAAGCTGTCTTCTCACCTCTGTAGGCTTTCAGATAAACCTGTCTGGAGCTCCCCCAAGTAAGAACCTCTCTCTGCTTCAGCACCAACAGTTCGCACCCCTTTGTTTCCCGCCTGACGGTCTGGTTTCTGGGGGGAGTCTGTCCTGCTGTTCTCAACTAATCCAAGTCCAGACCTCGAGACGGGTTCACGTAGGCTTGTGCCGCTAGCTGATAGCTCAGATAACGGGAGTAAGGCTGCAGCTTGTCACATATTTCAGGATTTAAATTAGTTGAACAAAAACAAAGGGTTAATCATCAACTGCAGAATTAATGTGCAGCATTAAAAGTGCAGTTTAGCCTCATTTCTACTGATTCAAGCAAATAACAGGTGAGTTGTATTCGTTCTCATCGGCACAAGCCTAAAGTTCAGAGCTTCCATTGATCGTCTGTCCCTCCTCAGTGTGACTAGAAGACTTCTCCCCACTAAAGAACCACTGGTGTCCTTTATTAATCACTCCCCACATGAAACGCTCCAATGGAAGCTCGACCTGACTGCTCTTCAGTGTGCAACTAACCAGCAGCAGTAGTGCCTGTGGTGTTGTCACTTTACTTTTGTGTTCAACCGGTTTGTCTCTCTATGTTATTGGCATGGGTGCACCTCAGCACAGCTCTTGCTTGTCAAGATAAGGAACACATGTTGTCGTTCACGAGGGATGTTTTGCATTCGAGCCGACGGGAGTCCAAGCTGCTCGCATTCTTCTTCTGGTGTTTCGGGGGCGGAGCGGAGCGGCGAGGTGAAATCAAAGCAGTTGGCCTTGAGAAGCATGTCGTGTGTGTCCGTGTTTTCTTTTCCCCCATTATTCTGTGTGTGTGTGTGTTGGTGTTTTTAGCAGCATGCTACGTTTGTGTTTCTGTATCAAATACAGGATTAAGAAAGTGGTTTTATTTGACTGAAAGCTGGATGAGTTTGTCTGCTGCTGAACAGGAGACACCAGAGTGAGATGGAGGTCATTTGACAAGTTATACTCTGAGACGGTGTAGATTCTTTAACTCTCGTCATCATTTTGTAAATCAGAGACTAGGACTAATAGTAAGTATTCAAAAAGCTTATGAAATCTAGAAATATATTGTGATAGAAGATCGCCCACCCAGTCCCGTCAATGTAAGTGTAAGGCTTTATGTAAAAGTTATTATTGTTTAGCTTTTATAAGATACGTTCACTGTTTGTTTTGGTCTTTTTATGAGAACTGTTAACAATAATGAAAATAAAGAATATCACCACACTGATCCCAGGCTCACAGGTGAGTATACGAGTCAACACGTCCTTATATGGTGGTTGCCACTTCTTCCCCCGTGTGTGTGTGTGTGTGTGTGTGCGCGTGTGCGTGTGCGTGTGTGCGTGTGTGTGTGTGTGTGTGTAAAGCATGACATCCCTGACTTTGAGTGAATCTGGATCAATGTTCTCGTCTCCTCTGTTCTCTCGCTTCATGGTTTGTGTTCTCGTCTTTCTCACCGTCCACGTGGGGAGCAGCTTTCTGCTCTTGGTCTCAATCCTTCAACACGAGAGCTTCCTCTGAGATCCCGTTGATGCTTTGTGTTCTTTGTTTTCAGGTAAACGCAAAGCGCTGAAGCTGAACTTCGCCAACCCTCCAATCAAACCCACGACTAGATTCACACTGAACACGGCCGGGCCGCCCTTTCAAAACCCGCACATGTGAGTAAACCTTCCTGTCACTTCTCAGTCCTGCAGGATAAATCCTACATGTAGATATATACTGTGTATATATATTTTCTTCTGTATTCTGGCAGAGAGAGGATGAGGACACACAGCATCGAGTCGTCGGGAAAGCTGAAGATCTCCCCGGAGCAGCACTGGGACTTCACCGCCGAGGACCTCAAGGACCTGGGCGAGATCGGCCGAGGGGCCTACGGCTCCGTCAACAAGATGGTGCACAAGCCCAGTAACCAGATCATGGCGGTCAAGGTGATTTTTTTTTTTTATTAATTTTTTTTTTTATTATTATAACTCTCAACCCGGGCTTTAGATTCTCCCCGTCCACTACGAGTGTCTTGACTGTTTTTTACATTTTTTTTACAGAGAATCCGGTCCACGGTTGACGAGAAGGAGCAGAAGCAGCTGCTGATGGACCTGGACGTGGTGATGAGGAGCAGCGACTGTCCGTACATCGTGCAGTTTTACGGCGCTTTGTTCAGAGAGGTGACGTCACCAGTTATTCTCATCGTCGTCGTCGTCGTCACATAAATGTTCGGTCTGTTGACTCTCTCCTCTATCGTTTCAGGGCGACTGTTGGATTTGTATGGAACTTATGGCTACCTCGTTAGACAAATTTTACAAGTTTGTATATTGCTCATTAGACGACGTGATTCCAGAGGAAATATTAGGGAAAATAACATTAGCGGTAAGTCTCTCGTGTCCCACTTCAAACAATACATAAAGAAGCCTGATGTTGACTCCTGCTGCTAAACCTTCTCTTGTGTTTCGCAGACTGTGAAGGCACTTAACCACTTAAAAGAAAACTTGAAAATAATCCACAGGGGTGAGGCCTGATCTGATCTCGTATATCTATCTATCTATCTATCTATCTATCTATCTATCTATCTATCTATCTATCTATCTATCTATCTATCTATCTATCTTAACTGTGTTCAACCAATCAGGCGTCTCTCTTCACGCTCGCCCCCCCTTGTTTCTCCTCACTCTCTCCCGTCAGACATTAAGCCGTCAAACATCCTCCTGGACAGGAACGGCAACATCAAGCTGTGCGACTTCGGCATCAGCGGACAGCTGGTGGACTCCATCGCCAAGACCAGAGATGCAGGCTGCAGGCCGTACATGGCAGTAAGTACACTGAGCTTATAGCCAGGCGGCTACCTCCGGTTCTGTTGAGTGAAGTCAAAGCTTCATGTGTTAAAGCTGCATTCTCTCTAGTGTCCAGCAGGGGGCGACTCCTCTGGTTGTATAGAAGTCTATGAGAAAATGACTCTACTTCTCTCTTGATTTATTACCTCAGTAAACATTGTAAACATGAGTTTATGGTCTCAATCTCTAGTTTCAAGTCTTCTTCAATACAGCATGATGTTCATTTAGTACATTATGGTCCATTTAGAGTCAAAC